CGGCAGAGGAGAGGGCTGAAAATGTGCAGAAGACTGAAAGAAAAGCAGCAAAGGTTTTATACTCAGGCACCGCCCCAAATGCTGTGAGTCAGACTCTCCTGTTCACTGAAACCATAACAGAGTGCATGAGGGCGGAAAGCAAAAGGTTTGAAGTTAGGGAGTAGCCCAGAGGTCCTTTAATCACTGCACAGGCTGTGGATCTGGTTACCACTGACTGATACTAACTTCTTACTTTCCAGTTATTTCATCACTGAATAATGTCATTAGATCCAATCTTTATAGTTGTATCATCAAATGAATAGGTACAGCATCTATGTGTTTACTTGATTGGATCATTCCAGTGTGTGTTACTGATTAAATCATACTGTTTCTAAACTTTGTAAACCTCTTTGTGTTATACCTGTCTCTGCAAAGATTAACTGGCTGACAGTTCTTTCTGATTGGTACCTTCATTAAAGTGTAATAATAAACATACAAGCAAACAAATGTGAAGAACACAGATACAGAAATTCTTCCACTCAATGACGTCCATAAGGCTGAAGGCTGTCTGGAGCTGCTTCCTACCCTGGATAGCTTTTTTGCTGTCAACCCAACAAAAGGTTAAAGACAGGTGAGGGAAATTAATTCACTAAGAAATAATATGAACAAATTCTAGTACTTCTGCAAAGGTTAAAAAAAAGGTTAAAAATGAAGTTGGGAGAATTGTTTTGTGGCTCTTTTCTGATGTAGGTCAGACTGTCTCCTTGTCTACTACTGGTAACTGTGGTTTTAGTGCATAAATGCCACCATCTGGCGGTAGTATATTGGTACTGCAGCCCATATAAACTTGGTACTGCAGTCCATATATAATATGGAGGGTTATTGGTGCAAGGATATATTCAAATATCTCGAATTGATACAATATCTTTGTTTTTCTTAATTAAATGTTCTTTATTCTTTCTTTAATGCAACATGAGGGACAAAATGCAAGTGATTATAACTTCTTTCCCCAAAAACTCACCCAGGAAGAGTGTATCCTGCAAGAAGGACACTAGTTTTCTATAGATAGAGCATGATCAGATTGAATTCCCTCTGTAAAGTGCCTTGGGTTGAAATTTTGTGAGCTGGTGCTATATAAATAAACTGAATTGAATTATGAATAATTTAGTTTGAATTTATTGTAGAGTAGGAAACACAGTTAAATTCCTTCACACAAATTGTGTCTTAGATAAATGAAACAGCTCTAAAGTAAATGAGAACAAAATGACTAAACCAAATATGAGTAAGAAGATACACTCTGATACTATTTGATGAAAGAATTAAACTCACCTTTCAATTTTCAAAATCTTCAACCAGTTTTAGTTTAAGCTAGCTTAGAATAGACAACTTTGAGATGTCAACCCTTGTCAAACATGGGGATAAGGACTGCTTAGGGCTCCTGGGGAACTACATTACATCAATGTATATTTAATTACATAGAAATTATCACCTGAAAATGATTTTGGTATTTGGGGTAGATTGACGAAGATGAGGAAGAACCACTGTATACTTCTCCAAGACAACCTTTTCTTTGGAGAACAGTCCACTGGCTACAGAGATGGAAAACCTTTCAGACCTCCTTTACTCACTTTTCTCTCTGAAAATGAGATCCGAGTTCATCATGACCTGCACACCTGCCTGCAAGTGTTGCATCTGCAGAAAGAAGCTTTCTGCACACTCAAATTAATAAAGAACTAGCTAAATTTTCCCATGTTAGAAGAATGACTGAGTGGGCTAGCACTTATTAACATGTACAAAAAAGTTGGCTATTGGAGCTCTTGCAGTGATTACTTTACGATCAGAAAGGCTGAGAAGCACAGACTTTAAGGGTGAGTGTGGAAAGGAAGAGCAGAGGAACATTAAAAGTTGTGTGTGGGTAAATGTAGTTAATGCTTTCAGATAGATCTTTTGCATAAAGCTACATTAATTTACAGTTTTAAGAGCAAATAATTCAACTTTATATTAAATTTCACTGCCAGGATTTGGTTTATTTTATATTTCCATTGTTTAAGAAAATGCTTTTATTTTCTGATTTAATATTAAATATGATGCCTGTTAATCTCAAATTAAACCCAATATATGTATTCATCAAATCAATTTGTTTTTTTTGCACATCGCTGTTGCAGCTGAAACTGAAAGATATGAACCACATGACACTTTTCTATAAATAAACTGCATACTAGTTTATTTATTTTTTCGAAGCAAAAAATAAAAAGTCCTGCTAAGTATATTACTTAGTAATATAAGATAATGCATACCAATTGGATAATGTAAACAGCACTGCCAGAGCTGCACTGGGTTTATAGTAGGTGTGTGAATGATCTGATCGTCAGACGATTTCAGCAATCGATATCATGGCTAGGAGTAGATAGCCCCAAAATTAAATTTTGCTTAGGTTGCCATGGCTGTCATAATACGGGACAGATGGACCCAGTATTCAAGGTGAGACAGTCAGTACGAAAGTTCAAAATACTTATTAGAATAAAAGGACAGAAACAGAGTTGAAGGATCTGCGAACCTGCAGGGACTGAAGGAGGGTGGGTGGGGGGTGGGGGGCAATCACTGAAGAAACACAGGTGAGTGACCACGATCATCGGGCAAGAGTCAGTTACCTGGTTTAACAGTTCAGTAAAAGGCAGGATCATCCGATGCACAGCCAACGAGATGCGGCCGTGAGCCGCCCAGAGTGTCCCCGACCCAAACAGGCCTCCAGGAATCCTCTGACCGTGAGGGCAGGTTCAGAGTCCCATGCGTAGAGCAACCAGCTCAGACAGAAACGCAAAGACACAGACAGGCAGGGTCCAGCAGGAGTCCAAAGGAGGTTCATGCAAACAGATCAGATGGGGACAGACAGGGCCAATGGATGAGAGGGAACAGAATCAGGAGTCAGAATCCCTTGGGAAACGCTGAAACGCTCTCACCACTGGTTAGGCAATAATCTGCCTGAAGACACTGGCTCCAGAATCATCACTGGAATAGGGACATGAACCTTGGACTAAGTAAAACTTATGAAAACTAAAGACATCTAACAGGGAACAAACAAACAGCAAACAAGCAATGACCTGGCCCCGACAGCTGAAACTGAGCCCAATATAAAGGAACAGACACAAGTGGATGAGATTAGTGATAATTGGAGACCTGGCAGAGTTAGACAGGAGAAGGCAATGACAATTAAGGCCAGCTATCAGGGCAGATCACGACCATGGCGGTTTGGGAAACCCCTGGTTGTTGGTTCAAGAACACATGGTAACAATTAGGTCCCTTGTTAATCCAGTTAACCCTTAATTAAACATAAGAATGAACACATAATAAGCCCTTTAAAAAAAGGAAGGCAGATAAGACCTTCCACCATGACAACGGCAGGAAATAAGATGCCTTGAAATTAATATCAAATTACAAATCTTATTGATGGCATATGTAGAATTTCAAAGCATTTTCAATATAAAAGCAAAACTGTTGGTGCTGCAAATTAAGAAAGAGTATGTTGAAGAAAATTGCTCAGCTGCATGCATGAGTGTGATTTGAGAGAATTAAAAGTGTATTTTTGACACTACTGTTTTTCAACATCCTATAAAATAAAATAAAGTGCATCCATCAGGTATATATATATATATATATATATATATATATATATATATATATATATATATATATATATATATATATATATATATATATATCTACGAAGTTCAGTACAAGAAAATGTTGTGTTATAAGGACTTAGGTATTAGGGTCAATTACAGACTGGGGTAAGGAATTCAAATATAGTCATCTATAAATAATAAGATATCTATTAAAAGTTTGATCACCCTCTCCTGCTGGAGATTATTGTGAAATATTTGCTCTCTCCAACGTCTACAGGGTCCTGCAGTAAAGAACACGCCTTCTCTGACACATTCCTTTTTGACCCAGATCTTAGCTAAAAAGGGAACAGATCCATTGTCGATTCAGGCAGGTTAGGGTGAGACTCGGGACAACAGCTACAGTACGTGGCTTTTTTAAAACAAGATACCTAAAGTATAAAGACACTTACCCTATTTGAGAAAGAGACAGGGTGACAACATAATACTGTGATGATGCCCTGCTCAACCAGTTTAGCTGAGTCTGTAATACAAAAGCCTTTTTCTTTCATGTCATTTTCATACATGAAGGCTAATTTACATTTTATAGAATGGGAATTTTCTTTCCTGCGGGTTTTTTTGGCCTGTTTGCCTGTTTTTTTGGCAAATTTTTTAGACAGCTTTTTCTTTGACTATGTATTAGGGTTTTAAATTATACTTAAACAAAACTTTACACTAGATCCTCATCTTGGCTTATAAGTAACACATTTTTTATGCAATGAAACAAACTAATGTGCAGAAAAGACATTTGCAAATGAACATTCACATTTAGCCACTTTAAAATGCTTAACTTTGAGTTTTCTCAGTTCTCTATGAGAGTAGATAATTCAACGCTTTTCCAATGAAGCTTAAGAGATAGTTAAATCTGGAAGTCTCTTATCGTCCTCATGGTGTCCCACGTGTCCCACGTCAAGCTTCAGCCATCGTTTAGCTTCTGGCCTAGCTTCCCTCCTGCAAGCCAGCAAACTTTCACCCACCTCCTCAGGGGGAAAGATTATTTTAATCCTTTTCATAGGTTACTTATCAAAACGAATGTTGATTCACAACATCAAACTCTTTTGCCAGGGCCAGAGCTCCAAAGAATTTATTTAATTCACCTCAGTAAAATTATTCTAATAGCAGATTTTCTGTGATACTCTCCAGGATGAAGTACTGTACTATACATAGATTTTGTTACTAAAAAAGGTAAAATATTTGGAAAATGCTACACATTTTTAATCTCAGTCACTGGATACAATTAAGCTTTATAACCTTGTTCAGGTGATATGTTTACTAAACATTCAATCATACCGGATTTAGAAGTATTTTCATTTTTTTTTAACAATGGCATTAGTGAAAAAAAAAAAGACAGAAATGCAAAAACATTTTGCAGAAGAACTTTATTTTTTATGTCGAATTAAGTATTTCAACTTAGCAATAGCTGCTCAGTCTTTGCTAAGTTAGTTTCCCTGTTCCTTCATTACTTCCTGAAGGACCTCAAAGTTAGCAGCAGCAAAGCCGGCAGTCATCATAGCAAACTCTTTGAAGTCGACTTTTCCATCATCATTCATGTCTACACCTTCGAATACCTCCTCTCCAATGTCAGCACCCCCCTTCACAGAGGAAATCACAAAAAATATGCAGTTAATTGTTAATGTTCTCATTTAAATAAAAAAAATGAGAAGCAAAATTACGACGAAGTTGTTTCTAGATATTTGAAAAGGTATAACTAAGCACGATAACTTCTTTTTTTTTAACTCAAGAGCTATAAATCTTTAGTAAAGATATTTTTAAATATAAAGGAGAGTGCAGTTTGTAATTATTTTACAGCAACTTTCTACATGTTTTACCTCACCTTCTTAAAAGCGGGCATCTGCTCATTAAGCAGTTCCAGAAAGGCCTGCTTTGTGAGCTTTCCATCAGCCCCTTGCTTTGACATATAGACGCCAAACAAAGCGCCCATTGACACCTGCAGAGCAGTCGGCTGCCTGTTCATTTTTCCTTAGGATGTATATCTGGACATAAAAACAAGCAGTCAGAATCAACATTTTTTTTTATTACTGCATGCAGTTTGTCTTCTTTTACATACCTGACAAAGGGGAGGAGTTGTTTCTTCAGGCTTGCACCTAAAACATTTGGATGCATACAATTAGTGTACAGTGTGCATAATCATAGGTCAGAATTAAGTAGCAGAATGTATCAGTTAAGCAGATTTGCTAAAATTACTTAGAAATATTGTTGAAAAGTTTTGAAACATTATATATATGCTGCACTTTGTTTATCATGTCCTTACCTTGATTCAGAGAGTCCACAGTGAGATTTCGGTGTGTTTGGGAGGGTTTAAATAGAAGTTGTGGCCCACCCTCCTTTGCTCCAACACCCCTTTTTCTAACCTGTTTAACAGGTTTTTTCTGGCTTTAGGTTATTCAAATCACAATACCTGACACAAACGACATGCAGGAACTTATTATGTAATTTTCCGCACAGCTTATTAATTATTCAAACCAGATAAAATTACAACTTCTAAGTCTGATTTTATGTGATGGACCAACACAGCATGAATGTGAAAATTAAAGAGAATAATCAATTGAATTAAAATGTTTTTGTCTTAAAACCTGAAATTCTGGTGTGTATCTATGTCCAGCCCTCCATCATCGGTGCTTTTTAGACCAGCCTTTTGCTATAATAACAGATGCAAGAATTTTGTGGTGTGCTGCTTTGTAATTCTTGAGATTACAAATGAAAAACAAAAAAAAGCAGCATTAGTAATTCATCATGTGAGCATAACACATAGTTCAGCTGAATCATTTAACACATGTACCATCCTGTCACAGCTCAGAATGTAAGTTTAGGTTTGGTGTCCTGCAGGTAAGATTAACCTCAGCTCAGGTCACGTACCGGTATCTTTAACATTCTCTAATATCCGGGGATTGTTCTGTGTTCACCACCAATGCTGATCAGATTCCTTGTCTTTGCTGCAAGAAATCTTCACCATTCCATGAAACTGCCACCCACATATTTTGTGGTTGGAACATTTTAGTATACATAGTATATTTTGCTATGTGCATAGTTAGTTGTCCCATTACACATAGGATTTTAAACATATATAAAAAAGCATGTTTTCTCATAACCAGGGCATCTTCTTTCAGTTTGGCTTGCTTTATCCTCTGTATTGGACAATTGTGCTAGACAAGGTTTTCTTCCTACCAATCTTCCATAATCTAGTCAAGATTTGTTGGAACTCTTCTCTTGAGCTGAGGAATATTAAGAGAAGCAGCCCTGGAGAAGAACATTGTCAGTAAAGGGTTACTCTGTCCAGAATTATATTTCTTTCAAAACAGCAAAAATACACACTTGTGCTACTACTATTATGAATATTACTTGAAATACTCATACTTCTACTATTGAGTTCAGTTAATATTCTATTTGGGCCGATTATGAAAATCTTTGGTCTGGATGATCTGGGAGGGTAAAGATGCAACCAGGAACTGATGCAGCTGTGACTACAGAGAATAAATTGTTATTTTTGGACAAAATACTGATGCAGTAGGGCTTAATACAAACATTGATAATGTTTTATTTATTTTAAGTTTGGAAACAACCTAAATATTATTTCTTGTACTACTTTAATATCAGCATAAATCAAGCTTGTTTAAACAAGACTCAGAGAGAAAAAAAATGTTAGGGTGTGGCAGAGAGCATGAACAGAGATCAGGTCAAGGGAGTGTAGTGTTCGGTAGTAATTACACACATCTCCTGATGACAAATCTATTTGGAAAAACACAGACCTCACGTGAAACAAAACAGGCGTTCTACAAGAAGAGCTTTTTTTAACAGTAAAGTTGCTGATTTCGCCACTTTGTAATAGGAACACCATATATATTCTCTGTATGCATTACTGAAGTGTTGTGGCTGCAGATAAACAGGGAGGAAAGGACACTTTTTTGTTGCACAGAAAAGGGAGAAGGCAAGAGTTGTATGAACTACACCAAAGTGACGGAATTAATATATTGTTGAAAAAGGATTTAAAACATCATAAATCCTTCCTAAAAAGGCTAATTAGAGGTTAGATAAATAATTGATGATTTCAGAATCAGATGCTGACTTCCCTGTGAGGAAGTAATCTCCACCCATGTGCGTTCAAGCTTTCCAATATGTGTTCATATTCTAAACAAAAAATGAGACGAAGATTAATCGATATAACAAATAACTTACTTAATAACTTAATTTAACTTACTTGTCAAGAAGAAAAGCGATAACATCCACACCCCTTCTGAGCTGGTGTGCTTTCTTGAGTCATCCCCAACAGTCAAAAGATTGACTGATGTTTGTTTCTGCTTTAGTCTACTTTAATACAATAATTTTGCCAAGTAGAAGAAGCCTTTTCTCAGAGCTATAATGGAGCCACTATGATCTGGAAACAGCTCCTTCTAATGTGGCTTCAGCCACGTTTTGACATTGTCAAATAAAATGAATTTATTCAGCAACACTTAAGAAGCTCTGTTTGTATTACTTGAAAAAAAATATTTGTGAAGCCAACTTCTAGTTGTCCTTGATGCAGACACCGTGTCACCAAGGCTATTCCTTACACCTTATTTAGTAAAGCTAGATTTGTGATCCTTTCAGGTCTTGGCAGGATCTCAACTCTAGCACATCCTTTTTACATCTAGAGTGTAACTGTTTTTTTTTTCTTTTCTTTTTCAAATCAACTCTATTGAGTGGATAATTTAACAAGCATTGCTTGCAAAATGAATCATTTTTTTAATAATTTTTTTTCCATTTTCTTCCCCATACTTGCCACAATTTTTCATATATTTTGGGGGGCATTTCATTTTTCAGTTACATTTCTTGTTAGGTGTGGCATAAACCCACATAGCAAACTACTGCATTCAGTAGTCACCTAACTGGTAAATCCATAGTTTCTCTTATGCCTAACGAATGGCAGTAAAGGGTGGGGCGGAAACAAAAGCAACGTTAACCCATGGCCAGGGGCTTGTTTCAGGACTTTTATAAATAACTGAACCATGAACATCAAGCAGTGTCATGAAAAAAGCTTTGAGGAATATTTGAAAATGCAAAAGTAATGCACAGTGGTCACTGATTCTTGTTTTAAAGGGAAAGATAATAGGGCTGCTAGATATAGTATTTGCCCTTTTTTTTCATTAAGCAAAGATCTTAACTGGCCCTGTTGTTGTAAAGCAAATATATGTATATTATTACATGAAGCTTTTTCTTATTGAAACAAAAGAAGTAATTTTTTAAGGATCAATTACATTTTTCAGTATTCAGAGGACGAGCCAAGAGGCCCATGGAAACTCTGTACGAACTGAAGCGATTCACAGCTCATGTAGAAGCAGTTTGACACTTATTCTTGTCAAGGCTCAGAACAGAAGACCCAGTCCCAGTATTCAAGGCAGACAGACAGATTTCTCAAAAAAGTGTTTATTTAAAAACTACGGTTTGGCAGCAGGCAGCTAGGGCGTCTATAGCAGGAACCTCTGCAGGAGGGAAACACAGGTTAGTGACCACGTTAAACTAGTGGAGGATGATTACGAATGTGTGAGTCACTAACCTGGTCTTAAAGTTCAGTCCGTGCCCAGAGAAAGAGGTCATTTCCAGCCAAATGACTGCCAACACGCTGCCAACACGCGAACATTGCTTAGAGAGTTCCAGATGCTGAAGCCTTGAAGACTGCAGAATTAGCAGATCAGATCCAAGCAGACGAAGGTAAGCAGGATAATCCAGAGGAAGTAGCCTGAGCTGGTGTCGAAGAGGTTCAGGAATCCGGGGCCAGAAGATCAGAGACACGAAGAGGTACCAAAGGGGAATCCAGGTTGATGTCAGGAAGCAGTTTCAGGGTCGTTAACAAGCAGAATCCTGCAGTAGTCCGAAGACAGATCAGGCAAACAGATCAGAACGGGAACAGGCAGGCTCAGAGGTCCAAAGGCAGAACAGGTCAGGATCAGGCATCAGAAAAAAATACGACTCGCTAGGACACTCTCACCAAAGGCTCGGATAACCTGGCACTGATGACTGGATGCAGGCAGGTTAAATAGAGATTGGAGCAGGTGATACAGATGAATAGTGATTAGAAACTGGTCGGAGCTAGGCAGGTGAATGGAATGAACAATCAAGCCAGTCATCAGCCCCAAGATCATGCCCCAATCCCAAACTGTCCCTAACCACTAACACTTTGGTATCAACTGTCACTCCCAGTGAAGTCCCACTCGCAGCTGTGGAAGGCGCCTTGATTGAACGTGGGGGTTATAAATGAGAATGGGACAGCTTCTTCCCTCCAAAAAAAAGGAAAGAAGTCTTTGCTATGGGCCCCATGTGCATGGCTGTAGCTCTGTGGCACAGATTAACATAACATTAAACATTTGCCCCTTTCTTAAAACAAATGTTTACAGTTACATAAAACAATTTCAAAGAAGACCTTCCATTTTGGAATAAATTACGTTTTTTGTCAGTATGATCAAGATCAGCAAACCTGTTGAATTTACATTTGGAGGAACATGTTTCCTCTGCCACCAGGCCACCGTTACATCTGCTGCCGAAATCCAGCAAGTCTGCAGCTGATGCAGACTCGCTATTTATGGGCTGAACGGTCAACTGGCCCTACCACTACACTGGAAATAGTATAACCTTGCTCAAATAAAAAAAAAAAACATGATGTCCAGATATCACATCTAGAATATTTGACTTCACAGAATCTGAATTGAATCTCTTGTTATGACCCAATTATTTTATGTTGATGCAAACAATAATACTGCTCTTGACCCAACGTAAAATCAAATAATTTTCTGAACATTTCATTTCATGAACCAAACTAATATATTGAAATTGAACCAACCTAATTTACTTATTTTTAACTAAATTAACATGAAGTAATGTTTGTGTTGATACCAGTTAATTAGTTTAAATATAACCAAATTATAATTTTCACATTTCATTGGACTTTACTACAAAAATTATTTCCATTTCCCATCTTACAAACTGTATTAAAAAACACCTGGATTACTTTAAATGCATTTATCAATTGTTAATATAGCCTTAAATGGTGTAAATCCAGGTGTGTAAACTGATGTTAACTAACCTCGTCAAGCGGCAGCAGTTAGCATCTGTCGCTGACATGCTCACCGCAACAGCTAAAATGCTCTTTATAACATAACACTGGAGGCTCCCACTGCCAGTGACGGATGGGTATCCAGCATTTAACGTGAACAAAACTCCACACTGTACCTTCAAGCAATGTTTGTTTAGCTCTGGATGTAGCCCAGCTGAACGAGCGAGGGCTTTTGGCTAGCTAACGTTAGCAATTTATTGTCATAACGTTATCGGTAAATGCGTAAACCCTCTCAGACGTCAGCTAGCTAATATTAGCTCGTTAACTAGCCAGCTATAACAGTGATTATAAGCAACTTCTTTACTACTTGCGTTTATTTAAAGGTGTAATCCACCCAGGATTTTGAGACGATGAAAATGGTGCTGTCTCATTGTCTGGGACTTGGAGTTGGACTCAATTCACATGTGACTCAAACAAACAAAAAAAAAAAAAGAACTGCAGATCATGAATAAATACGTACATATGGCGAGAAATCAAAAATTTTGTTTTGGGTCCTTTGTAGGTGTATTTAGTTCAGGATAAATCAAATTTGATGTCTCAAAATCCCAAAAGAATGAGTTACACAATCAAATCAATAATTTTATCCAGTTTAGAGTGACAGTCATTAGTTTAAATGAACAGCTACATGTTACACTTTTTTCAGTGTATGTAGTTTGGGATCTTTCTGCATGGAGTTTGCATGTTCTCCCAGAGAATGCGTGGGTTCTCTCCAGGTACTCCGGCTTCCTCCCACAGTCCAAAAACATGACTGTTAGGTTAGCTGCTTTCTCTAAATTCTCCTTAGGTGTGGGTGTGTGAATGGTTGTTTGTCCTGTTTGTCTCCGTGTTGCCCTGAGATGGACTGGCAACCTGTCCATGGTGTACCCCGTCTCTCGCCCGTAGACAGCTGGAGATAGGCACCAGCACCCCTCATGACCCCACTTGGGATTAAGCTTGTCAGATAATGAATGGATGGATGTGGTTTGGGATGGCACTTAATGTGGTGGACCCTCTGCGTGAACGGAGGGTGAGTGCTAGGGTTAGTATAGGGACCCAGTTTGGGATTGGGCCTATGACAATTCGTTTTGTACTCTGGAAATTAGTAAATGTTCAATAAGACTTCTGCACCTGCTGACAGATATGTTAGTGAACTGTTTAAGAGCACTGTACTTTAATTTTTCTGGGACAGTTTTTTGTTTTTTAGAGTAATTTTTCAAATAAAAGTTCAAAATCAATATTTTATTTTACTAAATTATCATTTAGTAAATGTTTATTTCTTATCACTTTCTTCAGTTTTGTAGGATTTTAATTACCAGTGTGAATTTACAATTTTCTATTCAAGCATAGCTGAAATTATTAACAATACTTCACTAATCAGTAAACAAACACATATCAATCTAAATAGAAACAACATACGCAGTGGCGGTTCTAGAACAAATGTACCAGGGGAGCCAGGAGAGGGCCAGTGTGTTTTCATGGGGGCACAGAAAAGCATGAAATAAAAAAACAGGCCAAGGGATTCAAATAAATTAAGATAACTGCATTAAGTGAAATTTCTATTCAATAAGGTTTCATTAAAATTCTAAATGTCTTAATAGGTCAATATACATTCAGAATTTAGAATTTTACTTTATTTTTTACTTAATTTAAGTTGAAATTACAGTTTTCTATAAAATCTGAATTAGAATTTAAGAAAAACTGTTGTAAAAAGTAGAGCTTTTTTTTTTTTACATTTGTTTTGGAAAAAAAATTTAGCAGATGAAAACTGGGATCCTATCTCAATACCACTTATGCTATGTTTTTTAACAGTTAATAAAACAGAATTTGTAAAGAAAAAAATAAAATAGATCCAAAGGATCTGTCAGTAACCATGTCTGTTTCAATGCATATCATCATTAGAATTTCTTTGAGTATTATGTCTTCAATACAGGGGCCATAACAGGGGCAAGGACTTGATCTACAGGGACCCTGGCCCCCGTTGGACCCTGTCTAGAACCGCCCGTGAACATACGTAATGGCCCAATATGCCCCCCACCCCCCTATTTGTCACATCACTTATAGCATCCGGTGCGGGAGGGGTTAGGATGAGGGGCGGGATGTCTGGGTGAGGAATAAAGCTACAGGCATCTGCTGCTTCTCCTAGGCGATATATTACATATAGGCAGTATTTTCCTTTTTTTTCGTCTAAACGCATCATGATATGATGGTTTATCATATGCCTATTTTTTATTGTATATCTGCTTTGAGCGTCTTAAGGAAAAACAACTACAATATTTTATTTTAGGAAGGTTGATGAGCTTCTTTTTTTTCGGAAGGGATATTCCAATATATTGATGTAAATAAGATGCACTATAAGATCAGCGGTCTGGTTCGACTGGTATCCAGATGATGAAAGCGGGAGGCAGCTATTTTCTTCATGTGGCAGAGATGGATGTGAAAACAGCCCCATCAGCGATGGAAGCCTTAGCTCGGATCAGCGTGAGTGTCTTTAAGGTTATTTCGGATGTGTCTTTGGATTAAACACATATGCTTTCTGTTGATTGCATGTGAAAAAAACAGAAAAAAGAAAAAAAAACATCCATCGCGTAATTTTCAATCCTATTGAAATATATTATTTGTTAAAAAGCGCAATGCTATGGAGAATCGCCACGTTTTAATTAATTAATTAATTAATTGCTGTTATTTTCACCTGAGGTGAAGATACCTGGGGGAGCGTGATTGTTCTTGTCAGAAATTTTTTTCAAACATAAAATGGTGACTAAAATCACACATTTTATTACGGTGGCTCCGTTTGTTTCCATGGAGACGGGATGCAGCCAGGATTCCGGTTTGATGCTGAGGATAGAGGCAACAACGGGCATGGAGGCTTTTTCCTCCAGAAACGCTCAGTTTCAAGAGCGATGGTCGGAGCGCAATAAGATAAAAAAAAAAAAAAAAAAAAAAAAAAAAAAAAAAGAGTAGATATAGAACACATAGATCTGCATTGATGTGCTTGCATTGGGGCTTTTTCACACCTCCTCCGTGGCGATGTAACGCCTTAAACCCCTCCCCTGCTTTCCAAGAGAGCTGCCTCTCTTCATGCGGGTGGAGGAACTGACTATGCAAGTATAGTCCTGCCGTCATGGCGCCCAGATTCCAGGTGAAGGTAAGGATGCGCTGCTTTAACGCCCTGACCACCACCAGCAGCAGCAGCAGCAACACGCACTGGCCGTTTTAAGAAGGATGCACAGGGGTTCCAGTTTGCAGTGGGATCTGTAGCCTGGATGAAAACATGGCAGTGGCCTGAAATGTGAATCCGGGAGTATGTGGCAGACAGGCCGGAGCTGGCATTGGAGAATGGCAAGAAAGGTGGACTGAAGGATAAAGTGATTTATTCCGATTCCTTTATTGATTCCAGCTTTGCGCTTTTTGTGTGTGCGCTTGCTTAGCTTTCTTTCCCTTTGCAGGTGTAAAGGCTGGTTATCATCAACCAATGTGCTGGCATGATCTATTCTTTTATTTCTAGAAAGATGCCGGTGCTATCACTCGGACGCAACACTAGTTTTTTTTTGTTACCCTGCTATATTAAACATGATTTCCTTTCACCACTTCTGGTTGCTGAGATAAGCTGTCCTGTTTTCCTCCATCACATCACAGCAGTGACAACCTTTTCTAATTCTCCTACGCAGCAGATTCAGACATTCCTGTCTTTAGCTTGAGGTTAATTCATAATGAGTGAGGTGGCAGCAGCAAGAGCTGCAACAGTTTTGCTTTTGGGTTGAGGTTGTGTGTCAAGGGCATCCAATGAACAGATAAGAGAGAGAGAGAGAGAGAGGAAACCAAAAGCTACAATGTCCTGCAAAATGCAAACTGAAAATGCAGTAAAGGCTGCAAGTAAGAAATCATCAGGAGAGCTGTCTTTAGCTAGAACCACACTGGTGACAGTTTAAATCATACATTTTCAGAGAAGTAAATGTGTGTCAAATGGAAAATGGAGGTTCTTTCTCAGATCATCAGTTTTCTGTGCTAGATAATGACCTTAAAGATAGAGAGCCAGCAGGCCAAATGGATGTGAGGATGAAGGTTTGGATGAGGGATACTAGAGGTGCACTGATCCAGTTTTTTTCAGATCCAGCCCGATACCGATAACTGGGCTGAACGTATTGGCAGTTCTCCGATACATCCAAAACAACTGTTAAATGAATCAACCATACATGTGACACCATCCTGGAGAGAAATATGAGCTGTGCAGCTGCCATCAACACCTTTGTTTATAGATGCTGGAGATCGGCCTGTTTTCCAGTGTAGTCCTGTTTCTCTGAACGTGACTGGCTGGATGTGCTCTCTTTATCCTCGGACATGGGAGCTGGCTCGGAGCTCGTCTGCCTGGCTGTGTGTTTCCTGGCCCGGGCCGCCTTTTACAGCTGCTTTTTTTGTATCTCTGCTTCTGTCTCCTTGAACCCCAATCGACCTCGGTAGATGTCCGCTCACACTGAGCCTGTTTCTGCTGGAGGTTCCTTCCTGTTAAAAGGGAGTTTTTCCTCTCCACTGTCGCTACAAGCATGCTTAGTGTGAGGGATTACATTTGAGTCAATGAGTGGATGCAATCAACTGGTTTTCCTTAGATAGGAAACTTTGAATCAATTTGACTGTATGATCTGGTGAACTGTAAAGTGCCTTGAGATGATATGTGTTGTGAATTGGCGCTATATAAATAAACTGAATTGAATTGAATTGAATCTGGCAGTGTGAGTGAATGTTTTGGCTTTGACATTGCTTAGAGTCGATATGGAACAGACAGATCTGCATTGATGTGCTTGCATGGGGTTGTTTGCTTTGAAAAAGCAAATTAAAACTGATATAAATGTACTTTTTATTATTTCTTGAGGAAGCAGCAAAAAGAAAGATAACAGTTCCTTGTAAAGTGCACTGGATTCGATCTCCTATATCCGATATGAAATCACCGCTATCCCATCCGGCTAATTAGTAAATATCAGAGCCGATATGGGATTCAGGTGTCGGATCGGTGCATCAACAAGGGATAATGAGGTAAAGGGTGAAAAAAATGTGGGCAATGAAGAAAGATTGTGTGATGACACCCTGTAGGAATGAAAAAGGAGATAAAATGAGTGAAACATGAGATGAGGGAGGTAGTTGGTAGGGTGAAGGATGCTACAGGAAGATGGTGGTAGTTTAGGAATAAATGTTGAATAAAAAAAGATGGTGGAGGTATGGGTTCGAAATTAAGGATCAGTAGTCATAAGGAAAGTAATGGGTGACAGATCAGGAACATGATAAATGGAATATGGAAGGGTGAGGGAGGGAATGATGCTGAATGAAGAAGGTAGGTGTGAGAGATAAGAAAGGAGGAGGGAAAATGATTTAAGGATGAGGAAAGAAGGGTCAAGGGATAAAAGATGAAGGATCAGGTCATGATGAAAGTTGGGGGATGAAATAACTTAATTTATAGCTCTGGACAGCCACAGTATGAGTAGACCGTTGGGTGATTATAAGTTGTAAATAATAAACCACATTTGCATGTGTGGCAAAATAATGATAAGGCTCAATAATTGTTAAATAAAGCATATTTTGAATTTTGGCCAAAGATGCAGGCTACTGTTATGTAAGGAATGCGGAGGCTGAATATTTAATGTTTGATCTTTATCTATAATTAACAAGGTTGGTTGCCTATGTCACCTCTCTGGAACATCTTTACTTAGCTGCCATTTTTATTCCCAGACCTCAGTAATTGACTATAGAGGTGAACATGTTTTGAGTTTAAACCATGTTCCCATTATTTATTTTCTCTTCCCATTGTTCATTTTTGGCCTTTCTAAGCATCTTGTTAAAATTCTGAGATAATAATAATAATTTGTCCTCTCTCCCTGCAGTCTAACATGAAGAGTCTGGAGCATGAGTTGCATTGTCCTGTGTGTAAGGAGATTGTCAAGCAGCCGGTGGTTCTGCCGTGCCAGCACAGCGTCTGCCTGTTGTGTGCCTCCGAGGTCTTGGTGGCTAACGGCTACCCTCCTCCTGAGCTTCCCCCAGAGCCCAACTCTCCTGCCTCCACACCTAACACACGCTCTCCTCGTCAAGCACGCAGGCCCACTCCCAAACACGAACAGCGGCCCTTCGACCGAGTCCTACGATCAGGTAGGAAATTTGCCTCATCATCCGTTGAAAAAAATCTTCTTGTTTATATACTTTTGCTTAACTTTAACTGGTTGTTTGTCTCGGCTTGAGGTCCCCATCCGCCTTCACCATCCATGCCTCGTTCTCCTGGACATGGAACATATCCAGGGCGCCGCCGCAAGGAGGGTCCTCCTCTTGTGATGATGTTTCCCTGCGTCCCCTGTGGCCGAGATGTTGAGCTGGGAGAGAAGGGCCTGACTGACTGTCTCCGCAATCTCACATTGGAGCGCATAGTGGAGAGGTAGATGTCACATAATAATCATGACATGTTGCTAATTTTATTTCCTATTCTGCACCACTCAATACTTACTTCACTTACAATGAGCACACTGCTTTTGTATTATAACTTAGCTCCCATTTTTTGCAGTTTTGCCACAAAAATAATATATTCCACTATTTAATGACATCATATGCCATATTTGGCTCTTGAGGGCCAGATATATCAATTTGACACATATGCCTTACATAGGATAACTATCAAGAGTACAATAAGACAACTTGGTGCTAAAATACAGAGATGTGGGTTCATGCCCAGATCTCATTATTTAGCTGCAGCTGAATTGTTACAAAATCCTGCACAGTGTGCACTGCAACGTGCTGTACTGTGGCTACACTTAATGATTGAGTCTTTCTACAGAAGCTTACTCCTCACTTTTAACATTTGTTGGGTTCAGTTGCACTTTAAAGAGAGGCTAACAAGATTCCCGGATTTTATTTATTGCTTTCTTTGCACTCCCCCATCAGGTACAGACACACCGTGAGCCTGGGCAGTGTTGCTGTGATGTGCCAGTTCTGTAAGCCTCCTCAAACTCTGGAGGCCACCAAGGGCTGTGCTGATTGCCGGTCAAATTTCTGCAATGAGTGTTTTAAGCTCTATCATCCTTGGGGAACACCGCGAGCGCAGCATGAGCACATCCAGCCAACACTTAATTTCAGACCAAAGGTAAAAAAAACCCTTTTTGCTTATGCTCCTCTGCATACAATGTGCTGCAAATACAAACTTCTAGTGTTTTGCAGCCTCTTATCTTGCTTTCTATCAGGATTTATTTATTTATTTAGCTCCAGTTATATCCTCATCATCCTGGACCTGCTTGACTTAGCACAATATTGCCACCACCTTGTTTCGCTGTGGGATGATAAGTATTAGGGAAATGTCAAGTCTTAGTTTTACATTCCAAATGAGATGTAGGGTCTCTATGGTAACTCTTGTGATCCTTTGCCATGTTTTGGTGTGCTTGCAGTTATCTTTTATTTCAGTTTCTTAGGTACGGTATGGTAAATGAAGTTGTTAGAAGTAAAAACCTAAAACCTTTTTTTAACTTTACTTTTTGTATTGTAGGCTATTATAGTAAACAGAAAATAAGAAAAGCACAGAATACCTTTTAGAATTTGAGTGATAATTACGCATATGTTTGTTTTGCTGCATCACATAAAATGTCCATTAAAGCAATAAAGTATGTGAGGTTTTATGAACAAGTTCAAGTGGAACAGATTGTTGTCCAAGGGTACACATGTTATATTTAATTTGTATAATATACCATAAAGCTTGTTTGTATTAAAGCTATTGACGGCTTTTTTTAACAACATACCACTAGAATGTCAAGACCATTAAGGTCTCTGTACTCCTTGGTCTTGGTTGGTGTGATCTTGAGTACAGCGCTAGTACCTTCACTCTCCAAATGCATTCTGCTGTCTGAACCATTTATGAGCTAAACATAGATTTATATTCTTTTCATATTTTTTTTTGTACCTATATTCTTTTGTTTGCATTTTTGTTTTTCTATTTAAAAATTATCCAAAGTTGTCCTCTGTGTTAGAGAAATATGACGATAATTTAACAATCGCAAAAAAAGTTACACCTCTTCTAACTGTTGAGTACCATTACATGGACTGTGTTCTATAACAAAGTAATAACCTTTGACATTCTGAGTTTTACTCCGGTTGCTCCAAAACTATCGCGCAAAACTAGTTGTGCATTTCAACTATTTTAATTATAGATTTTTCTCTGTCTTTCAAAATTACAAAAAATGTGTAACTTGTAACTGTTACTGTTTGTAAATAAGAAAGTTAGAAAAATGTAAATCACAGAAATTTTATTTAATTTCTCTCTATGACTTAAAAATCATTGTATTCAAATTATTCTATTCTATTCTATTCTATTCTATTCTATTCTATTCTATTCTATTCTATTCTATTCTATTCTATTCTATTCTATTCTATTCTATTCTATTCTGTTCTGTTCTAGTGATAATAATACAGTGGTATAAAGTCTTACCCCAGATTTATTTTTCATTTTTTCCCCTCAGGTTCTGACCTGCACGGAGCACGACCAGGAGAAGCTGCAGTTTTATTGCAGGTCCTGCCAGCGGCTGCTCTGTCCACTCTGCAAACTGCGACGCATCCACACTGGACACAAAATCCTCCCGGTGGCACAGGCTTATCAAGCCCTCAAGGTGTTTTACAACTATACGTTTTGTGAAAGCTTTGACTGAAGCTCGCTTTCTTTCTTTTGAGCTTAACTATTTTAAAGACGAGAGGACCTTTTCTTGCAAACTGTATCTAAAAAAAGTTATTTTTTTCTTAATCACTTTAGAAATATATTATTCAAGCTTGTACCTTCATTAATATCTTTAGTATGATTATGATGAAGTAAAAAGTACTATTTAAAAAGTATTTCATGTAAGTTATTTATACTGAAAATTATACTGCAGCACTGGGCTGAATTTGGATGTTAGTTTCTCTTACATTAGATTAATAAAATTATAGATATTTTTTCCAGCTCTATAAGTATGTTAAAAATTGCCATTCAGTGGATCCTCTCTCAATCAATAAATGTTGAGTCTTTTCTTTCTTTTGTATTTTCTCAATTTTTTGTCCTTCTTATTTTCTCCCTTTCCTTTCTCCTTTCTTGTGTGCGTTTTTCCTTCCTGTCCTCTTTTGGTCAGGCTTTTATCCCTGCCGTATGGCATCCATTCTTACCTCCACCCATTTGCGCTTCTGTTTTTGTATCTTTAGTTCTTTTCTTCTTTATTTCCTCTTTTTTAATAATTTTGCCATCTTCTATCCCTCCTTCGTTCTTATCTTTTAACCTCGTCTGCATTTGTTCTTTCTTACTTTCCTCTTACCTTCATTCAGTGGTGGCTGGTGGAGTTGTCTCCAAGGGGGGCTATAACTTCAAAATAGACATATACCAAAAACCAACCAAATGTATACTAAAGTATCACACCGATGTGTTTACATGATAGCTAAATAATCATATAAACCTGCGAATCAGCTGCACTTTATAACAGACGACTGTCACGTCAGCTCTGTGGCGGGAGGTTGTGTGCAAATAAAGTTGCTCTTAGCTCTGGGTGCCAAAGAGCTGCTCCCCAGGATGGTCCTATCTTTTGCATTGAAAAGGAGCTACTGAGAGTGCACATTTTTTAACAAGAGTCTATGAGCAAAAATATTTGCACCCCAGGGCGGAAATCTGTCACCAATCTGACGATGAACGAAACAGCTTTACTCGTCTTTAAAGATTAAATATTTATCTTGCACATCTAAAACATATATTTATATATTATATATTTTGAAATTTGCTATTTTATAACTTCATTTTTATTTGTTTTTCTATGTCTTTATCAAGGTCACGTTTTTTTGCTGTTATCAAGCAGAAACTCTGTTGCTTTATTGCTTCTTTATGTTTACAGGAGAAGATAACTAAAGAGATGAACTACATCCTGTCCAGCCAGGACACAGTTCTGGCTCAGATCACCCAGCTAGAGAGCGCCATCACTCAGACTGAGGTGATTACAACACTAGTAGTGTGGTTCTCTAAACTATAGTTAACTATAGTTTAAAGAAACAGTGTTTTGCTAATTTGACTTTTCCAAGAGTTTCCCTGAAGGAGTAATCCCAAGGGATAAAGTTGAGTCTGAGTATGAATCAGTATGAATACTTCCTTAAATAACTTTGTTGGAACTCAATCTTACAAACTGAAGGTTTGGAAAATTATAATTTTGTTAAAGGTATTGTGGAGGATTTTCGAAATTTTTTAAAAGACCCATCCTCTCCACTTAAAAAAATAAAAATAAAAAAAAGTACATGCACAACTCTGTACCTGCTCCCAAGAGCAAATGCACATTTTTGGGACCATATAGTGGACTTTATAGGACTTTACTTTCTAGTTCAACCAAAGGTCTTAGGATCCCGGCTGCTTAGGAACTGCTGGAGTATCACTAAGTAGCAGTAAACCTACAGTACTCTCAGTCCCTCAGAACTGTCAGCTAATTAATTGTATTGTTGTTGTGGTTATTTATGAATATCAAAATAAATTGGTTATATATGTTTTAAGATAAACTTTGTATTGGCTATATTGCATTAAGTCTTTTTTATAAAGTTAACTACTCTACTTTTTTTTAATAAAGTACATTTTCAATATAAAAAAGGGGCTGTTGATAAACCTATATTTGAGAGACATTTTAGATCCTCTATGTTTTTCATCACTAGGTGAACAGCGTATCAGCCAGAGAGCAGCTTGCCCAGAGCATCAGGGATCTGACGGCTGCCCTAGCTGAGCGCCACGCCTCGCTCACCCAGGCTCTGGAGGCGGCGCGGCAGAAACGAGGAGAGGCGCTGTCTGCTCAGGTGGCGGAGAGACGCGGCTTGATGGAACACGCAGGGCTCATGGCTTTCACTCAGGAGCTGCTGAAAGAAACTGACCAGCCCTGTTTTGTGCAGGCTGCTCGTCAAACTCATAACAGGTTTTCTCTTTTGTTGACCTTTGGTGTTACACTCAGATCCAACCCTTCATGTATACTGGAAAAAACATTAGAAACCCTTTACGAGAAGCATTTCCTACCTACAGTACCAGAGCAAAAGGCCATTTATAAATTATTTAGCTTACATAACTCTAGAATCAAAAAGCAGATTACTTTAAATATCAGCTCTCCAGCCAAACTTTTTATGAATGAATCCCAGGAGCACCAGACTGAGATTAGACCGCTATGTCACAAAATGACAAAATCCCAATAGACGTATCTCCGATTCAACTTTGAATTTTGAATAACTGCACATGTGCAAGACCATCCTTCCTGCTCTTCTGCTCCTTTGGGGGAACAACTATCAAATGTATATGCGTGTCCTGCTGACGTCTTTCAAATGTCACTCTACAGACTGTCTGCATTACTCGAGTTTTAAACGCATACAGAGAGAGCAGTGAAGGTACACTGAATGAATGAAACTGGATATGAAATACTGGAGTGTTTACGCTCAGCAAAGGAAAACTAGCAAGCACATGCCTCGAATTATCATTGGGTCAACCAATGGGTCAACCAATCTTTGCAGTAATGATTGATAAAAACACTGTTGCCCTTATTAATGTGATTGCTCTTTATAAAAAAGTCTCAAGATGTTTTCTGCTAAGAAAACCAATTTAAAAATGTATTTCCACATCTAAACAATCCTTAATGTTCATCTCCTCTCCGTTTAAGTCATACTTTCTTATAAATATAACCCAGAAGACCAAATTCAGCATGGATAAATAAGTTTGCACCAACTTGACACTAATGTCTTTCCTAGAACTAATGAGCTGTTTTTTTGGCTCGGTTTAACAGATTTGTTAGGAGATATAAAAATCCATAATGGCTGCGGTCTTGACTTGTATTAAATAACTTCAACATTATTTGTATCCCTTTAATCCCTCTTGCTGAAAGAATTGTATAAACTCTGCTCCTCCACTAACTCTGTGTTTATTTTTAATTTTGAACTGAAACAGGTTGAGCAAAGCGATTGAGAATCTTCAGCATTTCACTTTGGCCGCTGATCCGTCCTTCAGACACTTCCAGCTGGATGTTTCCAAAGAACTCAAACTCCTGACAGAGCTGAACTTCATCCAGGGTGAGAAAAAAGACGTGAAAGGAAAAGGGTGAAGACACATGGACAGAAAATAAAACAGACAAAGATAAAGGGATTAATTAAACTGAGTAAAAATGAACAATAGTGAACACTGAACATGCTCTCGTTGCAGCTCCTCTGGCTCCTGTGATCGACACCCAGCGCTCTCTGGCGTACGACCAGCTCTTCCTGTGCTGGCGTCTGCCTCAAGAGTCTGTGCCCGCCTGGCACTATTCTGTAGAGTATCGCCGCCGAGGCGTGGTGCCTGGAGGTGCTTCCAGGGGTGGGATAAGAGGGGGGCTCTCTGCCGCCAGATGGGGCTGGCAGCGGCTGGATGAGGTGAACGGAACCAGCGCCGTGATCGACAGGTTGGAGATGGACAGCGTGTACGTGCTCCGCGTGAGAGGCTGCAACAAGGCGGGTTATGGAGAGTACAGTGAGGAGGTGTACCTGCACACCCCACCTGCACCAGGTGAGAAAACACTTATCTTGCCTTGAAGCAACACTAATACAAAACCAGTTTATTTACAAACGATTTGTTCTTTAACGGTCACCACATATGAATGGATCTATGGTATGAGCTACAACATTCCAAAATTCACAAGCCTTGTAATAAACTGCTCCTGACCTAAGGCAGATAGAGATAAACTTTAAAAACAAAGATTCTTTCCACCTGGCATTCATTTCTTTATAAAATTGTTCTTTTTTTTTCCAGTTGTCATTCTCTGGGAACTTAATCTTGGGCCTTTACAAGCTATTGTGAGATCTCTGGCGTTTTTCTGGTGTGAATGAGCTCTCATTCAAGATGACTTACATGTATTTAAGGAGGCAAAGGATAATTTCTCTCTCTACCTGATGATCAGTCCTTTTTTTGCTTTGTTTTTGCTCCTTCTTGTTTTTACCACATTAAAGTCACAAAAATGTGTCTTATTGTGAATTACTTTAATGTGGACTCTGTTATGGTTCCAGACAACTAGTTCTCTGATGTTCATGGAAAAGGTCTTACCTGCGTGCACAATTTCTAAGTCTTCTTCACCGGCCTGCCTGGTCTCTAGCACAACGTCTCTTGCAAGTACCAACACTCCTGGATCTTACTCCTGGACCTTTGGGGTCCAGTCTGCAAAGCCAGCTGCATAAAACCCCTACAGATCCATGCTACCTCCCCTTCAGTTCGCCAGTTAGGAAATCAATCAGTCATCAATTGTCATTAACCAACTCCTTCACTATGCGTTCTCCCCTCAGACCAATCAGAAAGTTCAACTGAGTTCCTGCAGTCCGCCGCTTCCAGATTTTTGTTTTTACGTTTGTAAATAAATCTTTAAAATTCACTGGTTCTGTACATAATTCTGCATGTGGCTCAAAAAAGTGACAAACAACATCACAAAATCCTCTGGCAAGTCTGGCCCGGCAGAAACTCCCTCGCCCTCTTGCACTGAACATGAATTTTTCATCATCACGATCAGTTAATCCACTTTTTTGCTGCACAGCAAAGGGGTTTAGAGCAGTTTACAGACATGTTTCAGGTGCTGCTTTACAGAATCACTTCTGCAGGATACTGAGCTAACTCATCCCTCAACTTCACATTTGTATTTTGCCAACACCCAAAAGAGATCAAGCCCTGCAGTAGGCTGAAGCAAGATTTGGGGTGAGTTTCAATTCCAATTTGCTTAAATTTTCCAGTTTACCGCTGAATTCAAACAGATATTTGGAAATACTGAGTCAGTTTCAGATATTTTCTGTAAGATGTGGAATTTAAACAGTGTAACCACCCGATATCAGACTCTGCCATTGAGTTTTGAACTCTGGCAGCCTCTTCAGCCTTGAACCTTGAAGCTTTAAAGGGTGCTCTTTTTTAAGCCTTGGACAAAAGACTTAAGGATGAAGTAGTGTTCAGAAAGGAGTCTAAAACTCTAGAGGAATTAATCTCTCCGGCTATTCGCTTTGGCAACAGATTTCAGGAGAGAATCTGGAAAACAACAAAATCATTTACCTCTTCCCGAATCTCATCTTCCAGATTGTTCACTGGCTTCTGATTCTTTTAGGCCAGATCTAGAGGAACCAATGCAGATTGGCTGTACCCGGTTTTCACCTGAAGAACAGCAACGTCAGAAGAAAACTGGGCTCTGCCTGTAATGTAGTGAGATTGGTCACTGAATTTCTTCCTTCCCAAAGCAGCAAAAAGGGAAGTTTTAGGAACCGATGCTTTCTCATGACATTACCCTGCTCTCTCCTACTAAATCAGTCCCTCTTTTGCTGTAATCGTTTCTGGTTGTGAACAAAGCCTTATGGATAACAATTTAGCTGAACAATTACTTATCACCTACTTGAACAACTTCATGTCTCGGCTCTAGATGGAAGTTCTTTGCATGAAATCACGCACTGACGAGAGACAGTAAAACTTTGTGTCAGGCAATCATATTGAGGAAATGATTGTTCCTTTTTACTCCTCACTCCCATCTCCCATTGTTTTAGGGTACTATTGGCACACCCTTCAAAATTCTAACCAGCACTGGAAAGACAATAGAGTTAAGTCATGCAGTAACCACTGTCTGTCAAACTGTCTACAGTCTGCCTCTTCTTTATCAAAGCCAAGAAGTGTGAGTTTCATAACACACCAGTCACCTATTTGTGACACACTCTCTGAGCAGGTAGGGGAAAACAAATCCATAGAAGATTCAAGCCATTCTCAATTGGCTTACTCGCTCAACTCGCAAGCAGCTACAATGTTTTTTTTAGGATTTGCCAAACTTCTATCTCAGATTCATTAAAAACTACAGTCAAACAGCTCAACCCCTCACTAGCCCTACATTCTCCAAAATACCTTTCATACAGTCACCTGAAGCCGAAAGCACTTTTTGGAGCTCAAGAAAAGTTTTGCCAAGGCCCTCATCTGTTTCAGCCAGAGAAATGGTTTTCCCTGAAGTTGATGCATCTGGTTTAGAAGTGGGTGTCGTCTTTTCTTAAAGTCCCTCTGATGATATAAACTTAATCCATGTACTGTCTTTTCCCTTTGAAGGCACATAGGTAAAGAAGGCAAAGCTAGTCACCAGCCTCACAGTGGTCTTCTTCAACCATTGCATATCCCTAAACACGTATGGTCCCATATAGGCTTGGATTTCAGTAAAGGACTACCTCCATCTAAGGGTTTCACCCCCATCCTCACTATAATTGACCGCTTCTCCAAAGCCTGCCACCTCATCCCTCTTCCCCGAATTCCAGCCTCCCTTGAGACATCTCAGCTCCTGACTAAGCATGTTTGTACAGGGGTCAGCAATTTATTTCCAGGGTCTAGAATGATTTTTGTACTTCTTTAGTGGCGAAGACTTAGCCTGACGTAGTCCTACTCAATTCTAGTCAGAATATGAGTCTGATACTGCTCCATAGAGCTGTGATTATGGGGCGTGTTTTGAACGAACCAGGAAAAAAAATGCCCCTGCACTCAATTGGATAGACCTACAACCAATAAGAGCAACAGAGTGCGTGACGTATGTTAAGCGAGGCATAGTTGTTGTCAACAAAAATCAAAGCGTGCAGTTGCACACCTAGAATAAGAAGATGAGCCTTGATTGCGTTTCTCTGTTCCTCTTTTAAAATTAATTTGCTGTCGATATCTTCTAGAACAGACCTAATAGCAGAATCTACTCACCTCAACTCTCCAGCGGCAGCCATTGTTGTTGTCACCCAAGCATGCTTGGGTGACGTGGTTGATTACGTTACTGTTGATCATCTGTCCATCATCGTATAAAGCCCGCCCTGACAATTTCATTTGCCCGCCAGATATTGTGCGAGCATACTCGCGCTACTATTGAGCAATGCCAGACCGAACTTCCCGACCTCAAACGTTGTGGGACTAAGTTCGGAATGGCTCCCAGGCTAGCGAAGACTGCTCTCGGTTTAGTTTTTCTTCCCCTCTTCCCCCTGAGTCCTCTCTTTGACCCCAACCTCCCCTGTTTCCATCTGATGAGCAGGACATTGCAGTTACCTATGTCAAACACTACATCAGACGGGTCTTGAACCCGGAAGGTTTCTGCCTTAATACGGTCAGTGGAAAAAAATCGGCATCTGGCCGATTAGAGAAGGATTCCAGCTCCCCAGTACTAACCTGTACAAAAGGTTTGCCAATCAACATGGGACATTAACCTAAAGGCTTGTAATCGCAAACTCTGTTCCAGATTCAAAGCTCTATTTGAAATCCAGGCAGTGCTCAATCGGTCTGTGGTTTGCCTCAAACTGCCAGATAATTTTTTTGTGCTATTTTTTCACATCTCTCTGATCAGGCCTGTCAGGTCTAGTCCTCTTTGCACTCCTTTCAGCCCCCCTCCACCCACGACATAAACAGACACCCAGTCTTCACTGTGTGAAGGATTTTGGATGCTTTTTGCCAAGGATGGGGTTTTCGGTATCTGGTGAATACGGAGAGTTGTGGATCTTAGGAACGGTCTTTGAGCATTGTTTTTTTTTTTTTTTTTGGACTCTGACCGTGTTTGGGACTTCTGGTCATCTCACTCTTCCTCTTCTAGCAGTCGCAGTCCTTGAAAGGGGGGTTAATGTTAGGGTTTCTGGGGTTTTGCTGTTATTTGGAGCTTCCTGACACAGAGAGGATCTTTGCTGGTGGCTGGATTGACCTGTGTTGATGCACACCTGAGTCATTTCTCAGTCAAGATGACTAGAGTGTATATAAATAGACGAAGGATCATCTCTATTCACCTGATGATTAACACTGATGGTATTTCAGCCAAAGACCCAAACCAGGAATATCTTTCTCATTAAAATTTTTCTTATATTTAAATCTTTAGTGTGAACTCTGTTATTATTCCAGACAACCAGTGAACCTAAGTCTGTCTCCAGTCGGCATGGAAAAGGTCTTACATGTGTGCACCAGTTCTCAGTCTTCATTACCTGCCTTCACGCTTTGCAGCACAATGTCTCTTGGAAGTACCAACACTCTTACATCTCACTAACATTCCCCTGGACTTCTGGGATACAGTCTACAAAACCCAATGAATCAAACCCCTACAGAACAAGGCTACCTCAATCAGTCATCAGTTTTCATCAAGCAACTCCTTCCTGAGTCTTCTTTTTCCCCTCAAACTACCCAGAAACTTGAACTGGTTTCTTGCAGTTCTCAGCATCCAGATTCTTGTGGCTTTTGTAAATAAAATGTTGAAACTCACTAGTTCTGTCTGTGATTATGCATGTGGGTCGAAAAAAACTACAAATAAACATGACAGCTATCAGATATAAACAACTAAGTTAATCATAACAACATAGTCCTCTTTGTTTAATAATTCACTATATTAAAAGATTTCATTATGTGAAAAACACGAATAAACTGTTATTTATTAAGCCGCACCCTTTTATTTGGCCACTTAGGTCCTTTGAAGGTTGTTTGGTTTTATTCCCTGATGACGGAAGGATGGATTGGTTTTAATTCTCTTCATTAAGAGGGCACTGCCATAAAATCAGACACTTTTCATGTTGTCATCACTCAACAAACGTGAAACACAATAAAATGAAGTCAAGTGAGTAGTACGAAGGGTAGATTCTACTGTGTACACAGGTCACACAGCTTTTGTTCATGTTCCATTCCGTGACACACCTAGCAAAGGGTGTGTCCAAGTATTTGCAGAGCACTACAACTGGTATTTATTCTCTTTTAGCCATTTGTCACATGATTTAGTGACATGTTATGGGTCATAGTTCATTTGGAAGACACCTTTGTGTCCCAGCTTTAATTTCCTGCCTTACATGGTAAAGTGTCTTCTACCTTTTTTAAAGTCCATTTTTAGTTTTTAAAAACCATGGGACACTTGTCAGAGATTAGGTCTTTGTCCCCATCTCTATTAGCAAACTAGAATCTGTTTTTTAAAGTTGCTTCTTCGATTAATTGCTTTTTCCCCAGTGGATGGTTTTAAAGCCATCTCAGTATGTCAGTGGTTTTACTGTGGATATTGATACCTCATTACCGCAGTAGATATGCACCTTTAACACAAAAAGGGTTTCATATGTGAAACACAGAATCATTTGCCCTAAGTAGAACGTTCAGCCAGAAAGACAGCTGGACATTCTCTCATAATAATGGAAACAGATAAATATTGCACATTTTGACAACTGGAAATTGTTCTAAAGAATTTGATTTGTTTGTTTGAGATTTTGATTCCAGAACTCTTGGATTATATAATTAGATTTTTCCATTGGGACACCGCTAGTTTATGGTACCTTAAAAGCAATCCACATATACATCATCACCCGAGCTTTTAGAAATAAAGGTCATCTTAGTTTCTTTAATTTACTGAAAGTGAATTTTTTTTTAGTTTAAAATAAAAAAAATATATTTCTGGCATGTAAGCAAATAAAAATAAGTTTTATAACCCCCAATGATTTGAATCTGGAAAAGTTTATAATAATTTATTGTAAGAACATTCTTTGTTTATAGAGATCTGATTTCAAGTCTTTATGCTTCTATAAATCTATTCCTTTTTGTTCAAGTATCACTCGGTAACTAATGGTGTAAATAAAAGATCCACAAAGCCTTATCAGTCGTATAGCTTGATTATAGTAGCAGTAAAATGTGAAACACAAAAAGTAAATCATTCTTTTTTCTCTTTTCCCCCCATTTTCTCCCTTTTTCTGTAATGATCGTGTCACTACCGACACATCCTTACTGTCTCGCTCCTTATTTCCTGACTTATTTCCATTTCACAGCTTTGTTCTTGTCATCTTGAGCTGTGCTACATCCACGCTGCCAGCCTACATGCCTTCCACAGAACGTAAGAAGTTCACTCATTCCTGTTCCTCCTCTCTGCAACCCTTTGCCTTCCTCTGTTACATGACCATCCCATTTTAACTCGCATACCAAGAATTGTCTGAGCGCATAGTTTTGTACTTTGTTAAGACCTTGGGCTTAACAAAATGAGTCGGATTAAGCTTTGTAAGGGTCGATTTGTGTGTCTAGTGAATTCCCTCTGCCCCCTGTTGGCTGTTTTCCCTTCCTGCCATCCGCCCAACAACCAGGCTTGGTTCTTTCTGAGCTGTGTGGTGGTAACTGCTGTTTATTTGACTCCCTGAGTCATCAGTGTAAAGATCAATGTGTTTTTCTCTTGCAGCTCCTATGGGAGGAGGTGCATGTTTGCTCTCTTCTTTTTTTCTCCTATCTGGCAAAAAATATGCACAACTTTCCTTCTGTTATCCCCCAAACTTCTCCTGTCACTTTTTAATGCTAAATCTGGTGTTTCTTTCTGTCTTCTCTCATGCATCTCGGCCTGATCTCTCCATGTCCTCCTCTCCTCATTACTTCATCCTCTCTGTCAGTGCTAAACTTCTACCTTGACTCCCGTTGGGGTCTCCATGCTGACCGGTTGGTGGTAAGCAAAGAGCAACGTGGAGCTCGGAGCGTCCCTGGCCTCTCCTTGCTGCAGGCTGCCGACCACGCCCTCACTTCCTGCCACCTCACGTCAGACCTCCTGGTGGGGGATGTAGCCATCACACAAGGAAGACACTACTGGGCATGCTCAGTCGAGCCTGGGTCTTACCTTGTAAAGGCAAGTTTGCTATAGCTGTATTCCTTGTTGCACCAAATAAAGTTAGCAAACTTATTGAGGAACTATTAATCTCTTTTACTCATACAGCCTGTAAATAAAAACAGTAACAATCAAAAGGCAAGAAGATTTACTTTAACTGCAGCACTGATATTTGGTTTATTTTCTCTTGCAGTGATCAGAGTCCTGTACATTAAACTGCACAAAATATTGTGATATTACTTAGGTATTTTATGTTATGTAAAGTATTTGCTTTCATGCGTTTGAAAAAAACTCCTAAATAGAGAATAAAGTCAAATTTTGCTGGGTTATAACAAAAAGGGATAAACTTAACTGCCATTGTAACAATAGCAAAAATGCAGGATTTTCATTATAGGATTTGATGACTGATATTTTTGCACAGATGTGGATAAATGTGGATCATATAAATAGATTCAATTTTTTTATATTGTATTTCTTATCCCATTGTTTACATTTTATAAACAATCTTTTCAGAAAAAAAACATGAAAACAACCACTGTAAACATTAATGAAGCTGCCCTAAAACATTTTAGCCCCTTTTTCACTGTTAGCACCGGGATTTAAAGCCCCGGGATTTCCTAAGTAATTGGAACCTAGGGTAATTCACACGTCAGCTTTCTCTTTACTCTGAAAGTGCAGAGACAATAAGCCTGAGAGAAACTGCACTACACCTTCAGTCCAGGGGGGCGATAATGAGAACATACAAGTGGTTGTCAACCTGCAACAGCCCATAGTTGCATGTTTAAAATAACTGCTTAAATCAGATGAATTTTTTTCCCCTTTTATTTTCATGATCAGTAGTTAAATCTCACATCTGCTACATGCAAATGTTTTTTAGTCATAATTTCTTAAAGTTGTTTCTTAAAGCATTTTGGAATGTATCTGCCTCTTCTGAGGCCTTTCTTTTCTTCTCATACACTTCATAGACACTTTTTCTCTTATGACCCTCAGTCATTTTCAAAGAACCGTTGTGAGAAAGGTGAGCTTCAATCACTGTCTGAAACAGTAGCTCACTATATGCGGCTGAAAGTGTGCATACGCAGAAAAAGATGGCTAACGAGACAAGCACGTAGAATGGCCTTACCTTAACATATCACAGAATGATTGACAATTACAGTCAGAGGACCACTTAGTTAGATGATCCACCTGGAAATAAAAGTTCGTCATCTATACCTTTAAGTAAACAATGCATTTTTAAGCAGATTTATTTGATCTTAGATTGCTTTTGAAATGAATGTCGTAGGCAGGCTCAACCTCTCATAAGATGTAAGAGGCTGCCTGATTCACACCTGTTCATCTTGTTCTTGGTAAACAGGTAGGAGTTGGATTAGAGTCCAAACTGCAGGAGTGGTTTCACCTCCCACAAGACATGGCCAGTCCCCGGTGAGTAAAACAAACACACCACCCAGACTATCAAACATCTTGGTGGCAGCATTATGGTGTGGTCTTTGTTTCTGGTTTTCATAGCGAAGCAGGTCAGGTGTAAATGGGTAACAATTCAGATTAGATGGAGAGGCTAAAGACACTGTGTGACTAATCTGAGCTGCTCGGTCATTTTTTGGTATTTCAGAGTATACATCCTGCTGTAGTTTACTACATCGAGACCAGGCAGCTGAAGATAGTGAGGTAAAACCTTCCTTCTCCTCGGTGGGTTTCTGGACCCCAAGGTCAGGCCTGATTTAGATTCAGGGATCATTTGTTTCTGGTTTGGGAAAAACATGTATTTGGTAGGGTTGCTTCGAGGAGGAATGTCTGGGCTTCCCTTTCCTTTGTGACCTGACCCCAGATGGCAGAGGAAAAAAGATGGATGAATAGTTCAACACAGATATTGGAAGATTAAAAGGGCATAAACAGGCCAGTGTTGGGATTTCAGATTAGTTGAATAGAGAATGAAAAGGTTATCCATGAACTCTCTTTCAAATCTGTCTTTGTGTTAGTTTTACTATGCTTTAAGTTTTTCAAAGCCAAGCAGGCTTGAAAGGCTGCATACCCCTTTTAAGCCACTGGTTGAAGGAGCTTTCACTAGAATCAACTGAAAAAAAAAAATCAATAACCAAAAAAACAAAGATTTATTTCATGATATTCTAGTAGTAAGGCGGGGAGTTAGGAGATAAGCACTTTTGGGGTGGTGTAAGTTCCATCTTGCCTTAAAGACATTTTAGAAAAAAGAATTATACCCAGCCAATAAATCAGTTCAGCATGGTGGTGGTTGTGTGATGGTTGGAAACTGCTTTGCTGCATTAGTACCACATAAATTTGATTTAATTAATTGAATCATGATTTCTGGTCTGCAGCAGTAAAACCTTAAATGAAAAAGGTCCAACCGTTGTTTTGTGACCTTGGGACAAAATACACTTGTGTTTTTCAACAGGATCATTATCTAAAGCACACCAAGTTCCCTGCTGTATGACTCATTCAAAACAACAACAACAACAAAACAGAAGAATGTTGGAAGGGATCTAGAGAGAGTAATACATTGAGATACCGTGGTATTAACTAAAAGCATCAAAGGGAAATTAAAACGGTTCTTCCAGGAAGACAGGGCTTAAACCACAAAGGTTTAAAGGTGGCTTTAACAGAACCAGCTTGCATGCTTAGGTGTTTATTACTTTTAATCAGCGTGTTTATGTGTTTTTATTTTACAGCTATGACCCAGACAGCGGCCATGACAGTGGAGCAGAGGATGCACTGGACTCTGCGCCACCCTTCTGCTTCCTCACTATGGGCATGGGTAAGATATACCTGCCCCAGCACAGCTACCACCACAGTAACCACGGGAACAACAATAGAGACCCCCTCACCAACAACAATGTGGCCTCCTCACCCACTGGGCTCACCTACCCACTGCCACCCAGGCTCGGCGTGTGCCTTGACTTTGAGAAGGGGCGGGTCACATTCTACGACGCCCACTCACTGCGGCCCCTCTGGGAGGGTCACGTTGATTGCTCTGGGCCTGTGTGCCCGGCTTTCTGTTTCATCGGCGGAGGAGCCTTGCAGTTGCAGGAGCTGGTGGCCAATCGCAATGCTGATCAGACTCCAGTCAGGAAGGTGACAATTCAACCTCGCGTCTCCAATTTAAACAACAACAACTGATCCCTGATCAGACATGATAACGGTAATCTGGAATGTATTTGGCAAGTATTTACTCAGCTACAGCAAAAAGGTAGACTTCTCAGCGATTTCTTTTGTTTTATATTTTATTTTATCTAATAAAACAAGATGTTTCTATAGCAGAAAATATGCAATGTAATTATGTTTCTTAGATTTTGTTACATGCAGTTTTGCAAGAGTTCTTGCTTAAGCAGTGTCTGGTTAATCCAGGCACTACTGGATTAAGTTTGTAATTATTTATTCAGAGCTTGCACTTGTAGCCGGGCTATGTAACTTATACATCTGTGAAGCTTATGTAAAAAAAAAAAAAAAGAAAGAAAATAACTAAACACAGCTTTCTCTATAATGTATAGGCTTTTATCAAATGTCCTTAATGTCTGCCTTTGTGTTATATACAGAACCCTAAACACTTTTTGGCATCCCTGGGAAGGATGCATGAAAAACCTTCAAAAGTACGACTTTATTTTTCAAATACTCGGTGTTTAAACAAACCCGATAATGTTATATTTAAGTTGTACAGCCTCCTTTCGTTAACCATTTAGTCAGTGATGGTTTTCGATAACTCATATGGGCAGTTGCTCAGGCCCAAAATTAAATGAGGAATGGGGTTTGTTCTCTAGGTTTTTTTACAGTTTCTTTTTTTTTTTTTTTGCATGTGCAGTAAATTGGCAGTTGATTCCCCTGTTTCTGTTGCTGGTTGGGACTCCATTGCATTTTACTCCGCTGCAGACTTTGGATAATTACCCACTTTTGATTGATTGCGAATAGATGGCAGTTATAAAGTATTACCCAAGATGCCAGTCAAGGCAGATTTCTGACCATTCCTCTTTGAGCAGTTTCTCTAAATCATCCAGAGCCTTTGGCTATCTACAATACCATCTTCTCTTCTGCTCATCCCACAGACTTTTAATGATTTTGTAAGATTTAGGGCTGGGGAATAATTTCAGTTAATTAAGTAACATGCTTTGGGTGACTATTCTATTGAAAGATCCCAACGATGACTCATTGTTAACTTCCTGATAGCGGGCAGCAGATTTATGTTTTAAAATATTCTGCTTTTTCCATAATTCTATACTGCTATGCAGTCTGAGTGCCCCTAGACTGTATGGAAGAGAAACATACCCACAGCATTATAGACATCCTCAATACCTTAGACCATAGACTCACAAAAAATATTTCTCCAAGAGTATAAGATTAATTAAATTTTAAATTCCATGAACTTTTAATTAAAAGATAATTTTAACGCAAATATATTAAATAAACATTACATAATGTACATCATTTGCTTATTAAAGCTTATTTATTTGAAATGCATGATCATCTGGTTTATTTGTATTTAGTATTATTAAACTATACTTAGTCAAAATATATGCCGATTGTATTTTTTTTCAAATATATAAAGTTTAATGTCTGAATAACATAAAGGTAAACCTGATTATTATGCAATTCAAAGAATAGACTTTATGTAATTGAATTAGATACATCCATTAGTATTCATTTTGAGTAAGTATATTATATATATATATATATATATATATATATATATATATATATATATATATATATATATATATATATATTTATATATACACACCTGACAATTATGTATTTTAAACAAATAAGCGATATTGAAATGATGCATATGGATCATGTAAAGTTTATTTTATAGATTTGTGTTAACATTAACTAAAACATGTTAATGGGAATTTGATACGTAATACCATTATAAATATCTTTACATTTGCGTTTACTATTCTTGGGAGTGAATTAGGTTAGACAGCTGGATCAAAGTATTTATTTAAGAACAAGCCCACAAAATTAAGACCAAGCAAACCTTTCAACATAGATTTATTCTACAGTAGTTACTGTGATATCACCATCATTTTTAGTTTTGAGTTTACTATCGTATTGTATTAATGCACCGGTTTTAAAGGTAGGAGTTTTTTGAGATAGAATGAGTGTGGGGTTAATTTACTATTAAGGTTTTTGACATCTGCCAGGGATGACATCAAATGTGAGAGGGGTTGTGTAAGTGCATTAAAGAAGCTATAAGTATAGATGTATTTCGCCACACCTACTGTTAGCCATTTTGATCTCAGCCAAAGTTATCGTTTTATGTAAATAAATGAAATTAGAGGTACAGAGTAACAATGAGCCACTAAGACAATTAGAGGCTCCAATTATACCTCTGCTGCACAGCTAATCACTACTTTCCACAGTTTTTTTTATCCATTAGTGTTTCGTATTTCAAACACATGAGTCTGATGTTAGAGCGTGTGCGTTTAGGAGAGTCTGGTTTCAAAGATAACAACAACAAACGACTGGCACTTAATGTGTCCTTCTTTTTTGCTTGACTGTAAATGAATGAGCAATGCTTGTTATAAAGAAATAGCAAATTAGTCAGAATCATTTTCCCCTGCTGAAGGAGTGTTTAATAAAATATAAGGATGGAAATTTAATGGAATAAAGTGAAACTGTTTAAGTTAAAGTGTTGGCTTCCTCTTTTTTGTGTGTTGGTTGTTTTTTTTTCTTTTGTTTTCTTTAGCATTTTTTTTTTTTTTTACTTGTGGATATGTTGAACTTTCACCACTGGGGGGCAGCAAAACACCAGCAAAAGATCCGGCACCTGCAACTTGTAAAAGTAGTCATACTTTGAAAGATTGATCAAGGGATATGAATATTTGCAAAACATATATTTCGGTGGCCGTTATTCAAATTCAGGGGAACATGTTACAGATCTTTTCCTTCAATCTATACAAACTGGCAAATCGAACCCCGGCTAGATTGATTAAAATGAAATAAATGCATGAACTACACTAAGGCCAAATGTAGTGAACTCCTTGAGTTCAATATAAAATACCTAGAAAATCCAGTTCAGTCTTATCTGAGCCTTCTTTACTCACTGTTTTCAATGTTATGCAATGCTTTGCATCAAACCCCAAGAAGATGATATTCATGTGCTAAAACCTCAAACCACTAACGCTGCATAGAAGTGTTGTTAATGTCAGTGGTAACTTGGAAATGCATGGAAGGCTCCCTTTGGTGATCTGACAACCATGGTGATATTATTTTATTAATTTTGTTATTAATACTGTTTTAAAAATATTTGAGAAGTTGCAAGAAAAACTTGTCAAGCTAAAGAGAGATTTGATATGTATAAAAAGGGGATTTTTTATTTTTAGTTTTTTTCTTTTTTTAAGTCACCTCACAGCAAACCCAGCAACACAGTTTTGGAACGGCAGATGTATCTTGATCTCTTTGTGCATATAGTTAGATAGGCAAGGTAAGAGCTAAATGCAGCACAATTGTTTAAAGGTTTGGCTTTCTCTCTTGCTTTATTTCTTTCTTGGTTGCCTCACTTATTGCGGTTAACTAAGATAAATAAATGAATCAGTCCTACTTTCACAATTTTAAAGCTCTGTGACCCCCTAAAATACCTTGTTTCAATACTAGTGAGTGTAAGCCATCACTGCAATTACTGTTCTAAAAGAAGGTAAAAACTTTTTTAATTAAGTGTAATTGCCCTAAATTTGAGCAGGTAAATAAGATGACTTACCAATAGAATTAGTATTTTTCTCCTTAAAACAAGATACCGTAGTTTGATATTATGCACTTAAGATAACTGGGTCATTTTGTGTTATTTTAAACGTAAATCATCTTATTCCGTTGGAGAATCCTCTTACATCCCTGCTTAAAACAAGGAGGCTACATAAAAATAAAAAAGAGGGATCATATTTCTAATAGCTTTTCTTCATTGGCTTCCTGTTCAATAAAAATTTGAATTTATAATCTCTTTCTTGCATATAAAGCCTTAAATAACCAAGCCTCATCTTACATCAGAGATATGATTGTACCTTATGTTCCTAACAGAGCACTTTGCTCTCAATCTGCAGGTTTACTAGTGGTTCCTAGAATTTCTAAAAGTAGAATGGGAGGCAGATCTTTTAGTTATCAGGCTCCCCTCCTGTGGGTCCAACTACCAGTTTTAGTCCGTGAGGCATACACCCTGTCTACTTTTAAAGGGTAAGCTTAAAACTTTCCTTTTTGATTAAGCTTATAGTTAGAGTGATCAGACTATTCTAAACTTTCTCTGTAGTTATGCTGCTATTTTCTTAGGCTGCAGGAGGACATAGGGACCACCTTTCATTATTCTGCTGCATTCTATCTCTATTCGCCCATTCTGAAATGTTTGTTTGTTCAACCTATAACATTATTGTCTCTCTGCTTTTTCTCATAGTAGCTTTATCTGGTCTGTTCCAGTTTGCTGTGGCACCACCCTGGAGAGAAATATCGGCTGTGCTGCTGCCATCAAAACCTTTGTTAATAGATGTTGGAGATCGGCCTGTTTTTCAGTGTAGTCCTGTTTCTCTGACTGTGACTAACTGTATGTGCTCTCTTTGTCCTCTAAGGTGGGAGCTGGCTCGGAGCTCATCTGCCTGGCTGTGTGTTTCCCGGTTGACAGTTGCCTTTTATATCTCTGCTTCTTTTTCTATGTCTGCTTCTGTCTCCCTGAACCCCAGTTGGCCTCGGCAAATGGCCTGAGCCTGGTTCTGCTTGAGGTTTCTTTCTGTTAAAACAGTGTTTTCCTCCTCACTGTCGCTACATGTATGCCTGGCGTGAGGGATTGCTGGAGAGTCAATGAGTCAATGCAATCAGCTAGTTTGCCTAAGATAAAAAAAAAATTTGAACAAATCCGACAGCATGATCTGGTTGAATTGTCTCTGTAAAGTGTCTTGAGATGACATGTGTTGTGAATAGGCGCTATACATATAAACTGAATTGAATTAGAAAATATCCTTATTTCAAGACAATTTGAATTACTATGTTTGTGATTTTTGCAGTATTTAAAAATGAATGGCTACAGGAAAAAAAACAAAAAACCTAAATGTGTCCAGATTAACAATCACAGAAATCATTTCACTTTTTAAAATAACTGATGACAATGGCTCAATGACAAATGCCTACTTATTTGTCCTACGATATATGCTAACATGTTGCGTTTGCTAAACACCACTGCAGCTTTATCAGGATCTACATTGTAACAATAAAACACTCCACAGGGATCTGCTGTAAAACAAAAGAACATGTAGAAAAGCACCCAATTTCAACTATCAGATGGATCTATGCTGTTGGGCTATTTCTCTTCCGAAGAACTTGGGGATGTTCTTATTTGCGCTCAAAGGTTTTGAGGTGCTAAGAAATTTAAGTAAAAACTTGGTGGAAAGATTCTATGAATTTGGAAAAGGGAATTCCATCCCATCTTCCACCATGATAATGTTAAAATTAAGACAGAAAAAGTTAATGAGATACATATTCAACCTTCTTCCTTGGCCATATCAGTCGTCAGCACAGAAACAAATAAACCTCTTGAAGCTTACCTAAAGAGATGAGAGCATTAAAGGAGAATCTAGAGATATTATGTAAATAGAAACAGTCAAAAATTAATCTTTTTACATACTTAAACCTTATCAAAAACAGGACCATTTGCAGGAGTGCCTTCCCAGGTCATCTGCCCGTTTATGTGGTAACAGTTTAGTGACAATAGAAAACATGGATTCACTACCTGAGCCTCAGCTGCATAGGCAGACACATTAGGCACACCAGTGATGGAAAATATAAAAGCCATTAGTCTATGCTACATGTTCAGATCAGCCATCCCTCAATAATTTCTCAGAATTTCTGACAAGCGAACTATCCAGTATAAACGACTGACCTATTAGGGGACAAAGTGCTTTGGCTAGACTGTACACGGCACTTTGGGTCTGCTTGTTCTCACAATAAATCTATGACCCTCATCTAAATTATTACATTTATTCCGTTATGCAACACTTTCTATCCTGAGAAGACTTGTCTTTTTCCAGAAAAATGATGGTGCAACTGAATCGACTTATAACCATGAAATCCAAATGGCATGACATTGAAGCACCTTTTTAAACACAGTTTTCTAACACATGGAAAGATCCAAATTAGGAAATATTTCAAGGAAACAGAGAGCCAGAGAATTTGTAGGGTGAGTGCCAAATCATTGTTCTATTCTGGCAACACGTGCTGTTAAGTATTAAGACCACATGTTGGATTCGCTTTCATTTTTCACCTGCCTTCTCTTTCTTTTTGTTTAGACTGTGAAACTCTCAAAGGCAAACTGTCTTATCTGCAATGTATTAAAGCTAGATCCCTAGGAATTGTGCTGATATATGATGGTATACAGTAGGTTAAACAAGATTAATTTTGACATGAATCTATCAACCAGTTCTGGTAGATATGTCAGCTCAAAATTTGTAATGTAAATCCCCTGATCCTCAACTCATCATAAGGTCTCTACTGGCTATAGAACTGGTGCCTGATGAGGCCACTGGATGCAAGTGAACAC